GCGCCCGCTCCCCGGTTCCCTGCGGACTGAGCCGCGCGGGGCCCGCTGCCGGGACCGCGCGGAGCTCGGGCTCGGGCTGTGCGCCAGGCGCGTCCCCTGGCGTTTCTGGGGAGCGGTTTTCCCCGAGGTGACTTGGGGCGACTCGGCCCTCCTTTCCTTCTGGGCTTTTCTGATGGGCCTCGCTTGCCTTGCTGCAGCCTCTCGGGCGAATCAGGGCCCCCATGTTCTCCGCTCCGCTGCCTCAGATCAGCACGCCCATGTTCCTGCCCCCGGCCCAGGTGGCTTACCCTGGAACAGCGTCACACGTAAGAGTTCTTGGCTTTCCTGGAGCGCTTCGCCATCCCCAGGGAAAGCGGAGGGAGGGAGGGGGCCCTCTGAGAGGTGGCCGAAAGGATGAGCCGGTGAAGCTGGGACCGCTCTCCTCGCACGGCTGCTCGGGCTGGCGAGGCAGAAGGGAAGGGGGGGGCTTGGCGCTTACCGTGGGGGGGGGGGGGAGGGGCCGCCAGAGAGGCGCCGGCGGCTCCGACGTCGGGTGGTGGCTGCGCGCGGAGGGAGGAATTGGGCAAACTGTGGCCCCTGGCTGCAGCAGGCAGGAGGAGCAGCTGGAACGCGGAATACGTGACCTGAGCTGGGGTGTCTGACTTGCCTGCCCGTCTCCTTTCTGTTCCCCCGCTGCTCGCCCCAGAGCCCGGCTGCCTGCAAGCTGTGTCTCATGTGCCAGAAGCTCGTGCAGCCCGGTGACCTTCACCCCATGGCCTGCTCGCACGTGCTGCACAAGGAGGTGAGCGCGCTTCCCCGCCGTCTGCCGCTCTTGGCTTCCTCCTAATGGTTGCCGGTGCCGATTCCCTCCCAGGGGCCCTGGGCACGCGTAGGGAGTCCCCGTCGTCCCGGGGTCTTGCCAGGAGAAGGGTGGGATCCATCAACGGCTTCTCTGCGTCCCGTCACCCCCCCTTTCCGCACGCTCCGCTGGGCCACCCTGCGTGGCCGTTTGGCGGCGGCTTTAGGATCAGGTTGTCCTTATTCCCGGCCCCGAGGCCGTGCTCGTCGCTAGGAGGGTTAGATCCTGGCCGTTTGCCTTCCCGGAGCCGGCCAGCCTGGGAGGATCTAGAACACGGGGCGGTGGAGAGGGCTGCCACCATCGCCCGGGCGCCGCGGGTCCGCGCGCAGGCGCTCGTGGGAAGAGGAGGAGGCTTCTTCTCATCCCGCAGCGCTGGCAGTGGCTCACCTGCGTGGGCAAACCCCTCGTCCCAATGGCTCTGGGGCCTCCGGCGGCTCCCAGGCAATGGAAAACCAGGTGCTGAGGAGGGGCCGATGATCCTGCTAGGTTGAAGAGGGCTCCCTCCGCAAGGCGACCTTTTGGTGGAGGCTGTCTCGAAGGAGCAAAGGAGACCGTCCCTTAAAACGAGCGCCCTGGCCAGCAGCGTTGGGAGAAGTAGGGCCAGGCTGTTCGCGGCGCCTTTCAGTGGGGCCAGTGGCTCTTGACCAATTCTCTCTCTTCCAGTGCATCAAATTCTGGGCGCAAACCAACACAAATGACACTTGCCCCTTCTGCCCAAGTCTCAAATGACGGCGACTCGAACAAGGCGGTCCCGCGGGAGGAGCTGCTGTGAATAGACGGGATCGGTTCTAAGATTTCTACAGTTCTATATTTATATGACCGTGTATACACATGTACATTTTTATTATATCGGTAATGTGTGTATAGAAAGCCTGTATACATACAAATTCATAAATAAAGTGTGTATATTATGCAGTGACTTGGCGCCGCTCCTTATTTCCCAGCTCGCAGCCTCGCTGCCTTCCTTCCGAGCCAGCGTCGAGGCGCGAGCT